ATTCCGACTCCTAGCAACCCTATAGGCATGGTAGGGCTGTCCCTGTGGGTTTCCTGGACTGTGACTCTTCACAGGAGCAGAGAGCATTTTTCTCCCGTCGTTCTAACCTAAGAACGACGGATCTTATGGTTAACAGACCAACTCTTGGCCCACTAGGGCACCAGGGCTCCTTAGAGGTATTTATAAAGACAGGTAAATAGAAGGAAACCAAGACAGAGATGTAAAGCGTGGGTGGCTCATTCCAGGAAGAACAAGGACTTGAAGCTAGGTCTCAGTGGACAGCAATCTGCTACTGTGCCATGCTGCTGGGTGCTCTGTCTTGTCCTTTGGGACACAGCTTGGATGGGTGGTCAGTCAGTGAACACCTGGGCAGCCTTACACCCACAGCCTGCCCGAAGCCTCTCTTCTGCCCAGAGCAAAAATAGGCGAGTGCCTGACCAGCTAAGAAATCTTCTCCTTCTCAGTCTGTGTTCCAGCGGTACCACCACACAGGCTCATTAGAAATCAAGCGAGAGGGCGCCTAACTGGGTTAAGTTGCAGAGAGACATAAAAAGCCGACCTGACTTTTCCCTGAGGAATCTGAGTGGGTGGTATTTGTTCCTGCTGTTTTGACGGCAGTGAAGGGGCGGCAGGCGAACACTTGTGCTGGTGGTGGCGATGGTGGGTGAGTTCCTTCACCCAGAAAATTCTTCAGAGAGCATTTTCTCCTTCTTGGAAAGGAGACTCAAAGCAGGTAAATAACTCCCTCATCGCCTGTATGGAAATAATGTGCCTTGCCATTCCCTGGGGAAACCTGGCCCCAGCTTCACTCCAGCGTGCTCATGTTTACTGAGTCAGCTCCATAGGCACCAGGCCTGCCCCCTCTAGGCAGCTCTGACGTTGGGGAAGGAGGGTGCTGGCCGACAGGCACATGGGGGGCCCAGGGTGCACCAGGCTCAAAGGATGTGCACTCACAAAAGCTCTGAAGTTTCCGGTCCTTTTATTTCTCCGTTAATAAGGTCTGGCTGGCTGGAGATAGGGGAATCTTCTTTCACATACTTTGGGACAGGGAAGGTGAGTCAGAAAAGCAGGGAGTGATGGTAAGAGTGGTCAACTTGACAGAGGTTAGAGACCTGGATCCTAGCTGTCCTGCAGCATCTGTTTAGACGCCTCTTCTCACCCCCCCATGAAGTAGTTACCATGGTTTCCATTTCACAGTTCTGGAAGAAGGTCCAAGTGGGTAAGCTGTTTGGCTAAGGCCAGGCACCAGTCAGGCACAGTTGTCAAACGGTGAAGCCAGAATTCAAACCCAAGAATTCCTGTCCCCCCAAATCTAAGGTCTTTCTGTTTTAGCACATTGCTTGGCTACCAGGCAGGCCTTCCAAGGCTGTAAGGATGAGGTCTATCAAGTGGTTGAGGAATGAGTTGAACAGGCTCCCATCTACGCCTCAGAAGCTAGCATGTAGGAGGGGCCTCAATACACCTTAAAACTAAAGAACGGAAGTGCCCACATGGCTCAAACAACTGGGAGTCAAATCTGGTTTTATTACATGTTGTTCTAGCTGTCAATATTATGGACTGGATTTCTGAATTCCTGGTGCCCTGGTGGCATACTGGCGAAGAGTGGAGCTGTGCCAGGGTGGGAGTTTGAAAGCACCTGCCGCTCCCTGGGAGAAAGACAGGACTCTGCTCCCGTACAGTTGCAGTTTCAAAGCCCACAGGAGCTCTCTGACCCTGTCCTACGGGGCTGCTATGAGTTGGCATCAGTTTGATGGCAGTGAGTGAGTTTGCTTTCTTGGTTCTTACTCTGAATTCACTGATTAAGACAGTGACACCATAGTTCTTTTTATCACTTGGTGACCTCCAGACATGTGCCATTGGGGGCATGTTTTTTCCATTTCATGAAGTGAGCTACCCCATCGCTAACCATCTTCACCAGGTGGGCCAAGAGGGCAAGACGGACCGTGTAGCGCAGGCAGGGAGAATCCTCTTGGCTCTCAATCATGGGCATCCCAGATGGTCCAGGTCACTCCCGAACTACTCTATGCCATTTCCCCCCAGCCTCACTCCCCATCCATGCTCCACTCGTCACCCATTAAAGGAGGACACCCGCCAGTGAAGACAAACAAGAATACTTCCACCAGTGGAGCATGCTACACACATTAAGACTGCACCCGGTCAAAGGTGGAGGACTTTTGAGACCTGGCTGAGAAAACAAGGCAGTCCCATCGAGTGCAGGTTTGTAGAAGCCTCACAGGACAATGTAGACCAGCCACATAGGGGGGTTGGGGCGGGGTTTCAAGGCTGTAATCCTTTACTGAAGCAGACAGCCACATCTTTCTCTCACATAAAGGTGTGTTCCAACCACCGGGTTCTTTTGTGTAAGGGTATAGTAGCTATAAGCCACTGGGATCAGGTGGCCCACTTAGGGCCAGGGCCATGCCCAGAGCAGTGCTTCCCTCTTCACAGAGGGCAGTGTGGTTCTTACATGCAACACTAGCACCTTGTTCTTTTGTTCTGTCTCAGTCACCTCAATTAGTTCACTGTCCCTTGAACTTGGGGGTTGTTTTTTAATCACTAACTTCTGGCTCAGCAGCTGTCGAGAGACTGCAAGAGTATGTTCTCAGTACTTAGATGACCCAGCAAGTCCGCTGCTAGGCATCTACCCTAAAGACAGATTGTCTGAAGTGTGGGATGGGGTGTGTCATGAGATCCTCTCACAGGGCTACTTCGAGTTGCCCAAACCAGAAAGCATTAGGGATTGATTAAACTGATGGTGACCAATCTACACTATGGAATTTGCCTGTGGCCTTGACTGAGGAATACTGACGTGGACAGGTCTACACGGTACACTCCTATGGTAAAATTGTAATAGCACAGAAAACCTCTGGGAGGATACAGAAAAAAACGAACAGTGGGTGTCTCTGGGAAGGGGGCAAAGGGTCCAGAGTGGGAATGGAGGCTGGTTTTTTATCATAGACCTTTTTGAATGGTTTAGAGACACCCTCTCCACTTACTCTTTTGTATAGTCTACTTTTTCTTAAAAAACTAGTTATAAAAGAGAAGACAGATGAAAAAAAAGCAAGTTGTAGGGGAGGAACCATAGAATGATTTCCATTTCTGTAAAAGGAAAAAAAAAATCTAGTCTAACAGGTTTTAGAAAAATTCTAGAAAGATACATGTGTTTCCTTCTGGAGAGGACAAACATTTTTCACTTTTTACCATATATCTTTTCCCCCTTTTAGTACTACTTTTTTTTTTAATTGAAAAAAGTTGTCAAATTGAAGGGCAAAAGGAAATCTGTGTTGAAATGAAGCCATGCCACCCAAAGTCCCATTGCTTCTACAGGTTGCGGAAGGGCCAGACATTGTAAGAAGCAATGGAAAATGGGAAAACAGTGATGAGGTATGGCCTCCTTGAGTGCCCAGTAGGAGCTTCCCAAGGTAGGGGACCCTCCCTTTTCTTGGGAATCCCATGGCTCTTATTGGGGTAAGGGGTGGGGTAAAGCACTGGTTACAAAATTCAAACTTAAAACTTCCTTATATTGTAGAAAAGTTAAATGGGCAAATTCAGGAGTACAATATCTCATATAAGCTAAATGAGTAAGGGTTTAGACAGATTACTAAATTTAAAAAAATACACGTTGTCTAGAGCATGCATGTATGCACATGTCTGTAGCATGTGTATAAAATCAACGTTTCAATAGACGCTCTGAAACATGGTCCGAAAGGGCACATTATTCACAGTGGTTTCCCCAAGGGGTGGAATGGGAAGGTAAAAGTGTTTACTTTGCTGTATTAAGGTATTTCAAATATTACTTCTGTAAAATCTTTATATTTTTAAAAACAAAATGTTAAGAATGTAAAGACTTTTCAAAAATTTTATGCTCATTGAAAAAAAAAAAAAGTCTTCAATTATTTATTCTGTAGGGAAATGTATCTTTCAAGTTGAGGGCCGTTGTGACACCCACGTAGCTTCCCATCTGTCTCACAGGTTTAGAGGCAGGCTTGTCTAGGAGGAGCAACCTCATACCCCTTCCTTCATGGTCATGGCCGTTTCTGGATATTCTGTGAGGTCTTGGTTAGCCATCAGAAGAAGCGACTGATAGTTTTGTTGGACAAATTCCCACAATAGGGGTGATCAGCATCCTGGGGAAATGGCTACCCTACTTCTCCCAGACTATCATTTTTTACAGAAAGCAACAACACATACCCCCATCCCGCCCACCACACACACTCTACACTCTCTCTCTCTCTCCTCACACACACAATCTGTTCAGCCAACCTGAACCCCAGCAGCTCAGCTTCAGCTCCAGAGCCAGGGGAAGCCCCGAGGCAACTCCGTTCTGCACGGCTGCCACTCAGTCTGGGCTTCAGACCCGGGAGAGCACGTGCTGGAGACAGAACCGCTCAGCTGCTAGGAACCCACAGACCCCAGGGGCGGACCTGGGTGGGGTGCAGGCTCTGGTATCAATGCCACCTGCTATAGAGGAGCACAATTATATGCTGTTACAGTCACTACTCCTGTCCAGGGCCGGGGGTGGGGTGGGGTGCCAGCGGAACCCCTGGTTGCCTGGGAGAGCCTCCCAAGCTGGTAAGCAGCCTCTGGAAGGTCACCATGCGTTCCCTGGCCTCTCTGGATCCTCTCCCACAAGGAACAGCTGCAGCTGCTCATCTTGGCGTTCACATTTTAATTTGGTTTGAAGCTAAGCAGAGAACAAATGACTTGGGAATCAGACACCCTCATCTAAGCGCAGAACAAGCTGTCTGACTGACTTCTACCCCACGAGGCCCAAAGAAAACCAGATCATGAAATGTAGTCACCTGCTGCTATGAAGCAAATGTGGGGACATATACATGCAGTTGTTTTTATTTATTCAGCTATAAAGACTGTCTGCAGCAATGTTTTGATGGGTAACGCACCTTGGATGAACATTAGTTATACTGCTATACATTCAGTACAGCAGAACAGGATTGGGGAGGGAGGAAGGAGGGGGAAAGCTCCAAACATTGAATCAGAAACACTGTTTTTTTTGCCTTTAATTAAATGCAACCTTCCCATTGGTTTGCGGTCTTGGGTAACAGAAAAGAAGGCTGTGAACAGCCAAAGAAATTGGCAGGCAAACCCAGTGCCACGAAGGGCACAGCAACCGTGTGAGTGTCAGATCACCGGCACATCCTGGGGGCAGAGGCAGAGCCTCAAATGTTTCCTGCCCTTCCACTTGCCTTTCCACCGGCTAATCCAGAGCCCGATCACCGCCCCCATCCACCCCCAACCCCCTGAAACACACTGCGGCTTCTGGCCACACCGTTGTTTGTGGCTTCTGCTTAGGGGCAGCAGGGACCCACCACCTCCAGGACAGCCTGAGCAGGGGCACACTGTGCAGCAGGGTTGCCTACCCTTGGGAAACCTGGCAACAGCTGCCTCTGATTCTGATTGGAAATGGCCAATAAGGACCAATCCCCCATTGATGGGAAAGGTCAAGGAAAAATAGCTTCCCTTCCAAAGAGGGTAAAAAGAGGAAGTGAGAAGAAGAGACCAAAAATTCTTAGAATGGCACAAAAAGTGATGTGTGTAAACTTTTTGTTATTAAATCTAACTATAAGTTTGCTAAAGTCCAGTTATCCAGTTGGATTGTGTGGGATAGAGGAGAGAAGCCGGCTGGGCTTTCCCTCAAGAGTTCGCAGCTTCAGCCGGAGAGGTTCTGGGCCTGCGTTGTGGAAGGCCCTTTTTGAAAGTGGGCTTGGGCAGGCTGGGCTCCACACTGGCTCCAGTTCCATTGGTCCCTGAAGAAGGGGCCTGGCTCCATTCACCTGTGCTCCCTGATGCCTGGGGGGCTGCATTCTGATACCTGGAACCAGATGAATACCATGAGCTGTTTCTGGAACGACCCACACCATCATGCCGCCCTTGGTTTGCGGGGTCACTGGACTTTTGGCCTTGTGGCCTGTAGCCTTGTCCTCCTCGTCTGTTCCCGGGCAATACCTACAAAGAAAAGAAGACAATGTTCAAAGCACTCTGGCGTTGCGGTACTCAAAGTTTGATCCCATTCAGCTTATAGGAGTATTCTGAAAGCGGAATTGTGGTGTCCACTGCTGGGGACTCTGACACAGATAGAAAATTCTGTCCAACAAGTCTAATCCAGCAGCAGAATGAGTACACCTCCTTCCCAGCTCTCACCTTGAGACCACCCCATGGAAGAGGAGTTCACTTTTCTTTAGCTGAGCCCAAGAAGAAAGCATTTGTTCGTTTGACGGCTGCTAGGCGCCCTCAAAATCAGGCAAGTATCTTATCACACGTCTGAACTTGGCAGATCATGAGCCACTTGTAAGGATAATGCACAACTGGAATAATTAATGTCATTATACTCTAACTTGCTGTATGACGCTAAGTAAAAAAGACACCTTTATTCAACAAAAATGTCAAAGCGGGAAGCTATTGTTGTTCAACATCCCCTAGGTTTATAAACACTTCCGAAAGCAAGACTTCCGTCTCTCTGACCGTTCCCCTGAAGCATTCTGCACTCCGCACCACACCATGCCACAGTGGCAGTGGCAGCCCTGCACCCTCAAGGGGACTCAAAGTGTGTTTCCCTGAAATGCTACAGGTGCAAAGCCAGTCTGAAGGGCAAGAGTGGCCTGTAAGGTGGATGGGGCAAGGTTTACAACGAAGTTTTCATAGGACAGTCTTGCTAGCCTTCTTCAAGGATGAGCATTGTGGAGATGGAAAAATTCCTCAGCACAAACTTCCTGGCCCTTTCCTCACCACTGCCGTTTTTCAATTTCCTGAAAACTTTTCTCCAGTAGGCGCCCATGACTATCCTGCATCCTCCAAGAACACCTATCAAGACAGGATAGACCTTTTGGGTATCCCCTTAACTGCTGTCCTAACCTTCTAGGTAGACTTCTGCCTTGAATTTCACTAGCTCAGCAGATCCCCCGGGGAGCCCCTTTGCTTTGATTGACCTTGTTCTCTTACCCAATGCTTGTCCCAGGCTATGATTCATTCCACGAAAGCGTCTTCATTAGCGCTGATCTTGTTAAAAGACTGATGGAAAGATCAGCTCTTTGAGCTTGCTGACCCTCCACAATGCTGGCTTGCTCTCTTTTTCAGTTTCCTTTTTTTTTTTAAATCAATTTATTGGGGCTCATACAATTCATCACAATACATAGATCAATTGTGTAAAGCACATCTATACAATTGTTGCCCTCATCATTCCCAAAATTCGCTTGCCTCTTGGGTTCCCGGAATCAGCTCATTTCCTCCTGCCCCCCCCCCACTTGATAATTTATAAATTATTATTATATCTTATATTACACTGCCCGGGGTCTCCCTTCACCCACCCCTCTGCTGCCCGTCCCCCAGAGGAGGTTATATGTAGATCCCTGTGATCAATTCCCCCTTTCTACAACCCCCTTCCCTCCTGGTATCGCCACTGTCACCCCTGGTCCTGATAGGTTCATCTGTCCTAGATTCCCTGCGTTTCCAATTCCTTTTTTAAGACGATATCCCAATGAGACTAGGACAAGGGCATAACTTAGAGAACCCATCTTCAGCCGCCCACGGATCGTGGAGAACTGCTGAAACATGCTTTGTTTGGATTACTCGGAGCCTGCATGGAATAGAACCCCAGCAGCCACACGTTTTACTCATCCTTGTATGTTGGGAGTCTTAAGAGCACAGCATGCCAGTGTGTCACTTAATCCACCTTCACGTTACAACCCAGAAAGCTTCCGCCCAAAGCAAGGCCAGGTGTGAAGAATTACTGACAGCACTGCCTTCGATTGCTAGTGTCTTCCTTCAGCCGGAGAGCTGTGGATTCCTCTTCAACTTTCTAGTGTTGGTCCCTCCTCCCACTGTGCTTCTAGGGAGTTGCTGCTTTCAGATGCACTCTGGCGAGTCCGCTCTGCAGTGCTTGTCTACCCTGAGATGGATGCATGACTCCCAGTGTGACTAATTACCAAGCATACTACCTACAACAACTCGACTCGCTGCCAATATAGGAAAGTCAGCAGCTCTTAGCAACAGGAGCTCTAAACTGGCTGGTGCTTTGGAACATATGTACCAAATGCTTTCCTAGGAACTAACTGCGGGTGCAGGGATTCAACGTAGGTGTGAGATGAGAATAAAGGAGGAAGGTAAAAGGCTGAGCCATCGGCATTAGGCCCCAGCCATCTGCCGGGTCTTCTTCCTAATGTGTGCTTGCAGAAGAAGCAGGTTACCTCCCGATGCGGCGGGTGGCCCCGGCCGCTGGAGCTGGTGCTGGCTGCAGGAGGCTCTGCGGGAGCAGGGTGTTTCTTATTAGCACTCGTCTGGCTGGGCGCTGAGGCACAGGTGGAGGAGGAAGCGGCAGTGGTGGCGTCACTTGGGCTACCCAGAGACACGGATGTAAGTGAAGCACCCCGGGATCTGGTGGAGTAGCTGTTCTTTGGATGTGACACTGCAACAGACACGTGAGGAATAGGGGTCGGTCAGTCGTAAGCTGGAGGCGCATGAGTGGTAAGCTTTCCCTCCCCTCCTTGCCACTTCACGAGTCATTTCAAATAGAGCAGTCTGTTACAGCAGTCGTAAAAAGAAATTTCTATTTCACAATATTACTCAGAAATAACATACATCAAATCATAAAAAAAAAATGGGGGATGTTCCTATAAAAGGGGTAGTAACAGGAAGGAAAATCCCTTTCTGCCCTCTTCCTCAAATCTCTCCCTCCAAAAATCACAGCTTGGTAAACAGATTCTATAGACAGGAGAACAGTTTTAAGATCCAAATCACCCATCCTCCCACTGACTAATGACTTCTTGGCATTTCCTCCCCTCTAAGCTGCTGGCTCCATCCCTAGTGGCAGACTAAGCCTGAGACAATAGGATGGGCCATATGTCCCATTTCCCACAGAGGCACCAACTAACCAGACTCTGGAAAGAAAGAAAAAGATAAAGAAATTAAATCTTCCCTAATTTTTTAAAACACATTTGATTAAATGACACAAGGAATAAATAATCAAACTTGGCTAAATATGAACAGAACTCATCCTTTCCCCCATGTTCCTATCTTTCTGCAAAAGAAATCAATTCAAAGTACCAATTTAAGGGAAAAAAGGACTATTTTTAACCAAAATTTTTTTCCCACCCAAAAGTCAACAGTTAAACCACTCTCCAGATTTTGTTCTTGGCTTTAGGTCTGGACTCAAGCTGACCATCACTGCCTCACTTTTACACAGAGAGAGGAGGGACGAGCTCAGGACTGACTGAGGGCTCTACGAACTCCTATGTGAGGCACAATCCGCCTCCCCCTTTTGAGCTACTACAGCAGTGGTCTCCACCTGTGGGTCTCGACCCTTGTGGAGGTCCGAACAACCCTTTCACAAGGGTCGCCCGATTCATGACAGTAGCAAAATTACAGTTATGAAACAGCAACGAAAATAATGTTATGGTTGGGAGTCACTACAACATGAGAAACTGTATGAAAGGGTCGCGGCATGAGGAGGGTTGAGAGCCACTGCACTACAGTGATGCCTGAGGTCTCAAACTCAATTCATTACAAATTCCAGAACTGAATATATTTTCCCAAGAAATAATGGAAAATCAAATAACTGACTCTGATGCCCCAAATTACACTTATAAATTCATTTCTTCCAGGGCTTTAAATCACCATGGAGGCTTTTAGCCTTCTGGAGTATCACTGTCTCGGATACACTGTCACCACCGAGATGTTCCTGATCTGTCCGATTTAACAGTGCATTTTTCAGCCTCTTAGGTGGTCTGGGTTCTGTGTGCCGAGGTTAATGCTTTCTCACCTTTCACTACATTAGCTGCTTTAATCACTCTCCCCCCCCCTCCAAAAAAAAAGGTTAATGATGTCAACTTAGCCATGCTGAATTCAGCCACCAAATCAGACAAGTGGCAATCTGATTCAAATTTCACAATGAATACTTTAAGTCTCTAGTACTTCTCAGTTTGCCTCTTAGCTTCACTGCTGGTGTCACTAACTCCCTTTGGAGCCATGGTTAGAGTATTTAGGCAAAGTGCAAACAAAAGCACACTGATGAACTTTTCCATGCAGGAGTACAAGCTCTCTCTGTTGTCTGAGCGAGAGCGGCACTGAGACTGAAGCGTCACCACTTTTGTGTCGTGAGGAAAAACACCACACAAAGGACTCTGCTCCTACAGGTTTTTTAAAGTCGGATTTTCAGTTCAACTATCAGCAGAGTTAGAGACACAGTGCAGATTTTTAAAAACTTTGCTGGCTGTTCAAGTGGTGGAAAGTTAGAGCTTGGAGCTGTTCAACAACCAAAGTATTGTTGTGTTTAAATGCCGATTACATGCCAGGCAAGACTCTCTGGGTAATGCAATTAGTAACTTATGTTTAGCTGTGAACCACCAGGTTGGTGGTTTGAGTCCTCACAGAGGCCCCTCAGAAGAAAGGCCTGGCCGTCTGAAAAGCCGGCCACGGAAAATGCTGCAAAGCCCAGATGTACTGATAGGCTTGGGTTCACCACATGGTGGGGCTGACTGCAGCCTGGCTCGCTGGCTCTCTGCGAGGTCAGGAACTGCTTTGGTTCTAGAGTAAAATACGATTACCAGAGGCTAGTGGGGAGCCCCAGATTTATGCATGGTCTGACTCTGGAGCCCCATGCTCTTTACCCTATACACATGCCACATATCTTAATGTAGCAGAAAACAATGAGAAAATAAGGCGTCCACACTTCAGGGAGCCGGAGAATACTCAGCACCTAAACTCAAAACATCTGCACCCATTGATCCCTTGAGTCTCTTGGGGTTGCTTTTCAGAAAAGTCCAACAAACAAAAACCACAAGGGACCCGAAGGAAGCAGCAGCGGGGAGGTCAACCAGCATTTCACTCCCTCACCAGTAAAGACTGGTTGGTCTTCTCCCTGCCATCTGCAGCTCCCATCTCTCACCCTCTCACCTTGTCCGAAGACATCGATGCTCTTCTTTAGTGTTTCTACATCACAGGTGAACCGGGCCACTCTGCCCAGATCCTCGTCATATTTCCGCTCACTAACAAAATGCTACAGAGGAGGCACAAGAGAGTCTCTGGGTTAGACAAACATTCAGCCTGCTCTAGACACTTAGATGAGTCAGCTGTCTTTTGATGGCTGCAAAGCTTACAAAATTGTCATTATTTTCCCAATGTTGGGTAACTGAGGAGACTCGCTCATTTCCCTAATATCCCTGCAAAGATCGGTCTCTTTGGGAAGCTTCATGCAGTGCTCTGTGGTACTCAAACCTATCCAGTGTGAGAGAACCTGCAGAGACGGGGAAGATTTTAGGGTCGGAGGCCATCTCTCCACTGCTGGTGATTTCCACTCGGCTCCAGTTCAGAGATGCAGAGGAAACAAAAATGCTCACAAGCAGGTGAGCAGTAAGTTGCAGCACTGGTTCCATTCAGACAAAGCATTTGATGGTCTTTAAAGAAACTGCCTCAAGAAACTTCATCTCTTCAGAAACCAGGCTTTGTTAGTCCTCTTGAGATGGAAAAGCATCCATGTGAAAAGTCACCTTTGCAAATGAGAAGCGTTTACGCTGCAAGTAGCTTAATCTTTTATATGTAAATTGAGCGAGAAGAAACTGATCCTTTAGGTCAAAACTGTTCTCTAGAAATTGTGGGGCTAGAAACACATTGAGAATCAAGTGCTGCTGGGGATGTGTGGGTCTCTGTGTGTGTCCTCTTTCAATCACTAATGTCTCTGGTGGTCTTGAATAATTTTCCAAATGGAAGTGAAAGGCCTAGATACAAGTTGCAACAATTGCTCTCCTCAGAGCAGTCCTAAAACGGCTGGGCTGGGGTGGTCTAATCTCCCTTTTGGCTTTTGACAGCAGTGAGATCAAAAGCATCCAAGTACTCCGGATTCATCTAGAAGCAGTGAAAAGGAAAGGGAAAGATCAAAATTACCTCTGGGCTTTCAAGCCCTAAAGCTGCAGAATATATTGTGGCTTAGGAAACCACAAACCTCTTGTAACAAAGCCTTGAGATGTACAGGATCAGCCTAAGATTCATTCTGAAACAAATTCTAGGGTTGTTTGAGACAAAGACATAACAAGGATGATAGAAATAAAATGATCTAGAAATAAGACATTTAAATTGCACAGCACCCACTTCAGTTTGCTGAAAATGTGGGGTGAAACAGCCTTAGTCAGCCTGCAGAAATATTTCTAGCAGTTTTTCAGCCATGTGGGAAGGGGAACAGATGAAGCCTTTGCGAGAGAGGATTCTCCTCTAATTCCAGAGGGGCTTCTGGCTTCCCCTCAGCCTGGCTGGCATCGGTGTGTGGAGGGCTCCCTGTACAAGCTAGTAGAGGTTCGTGCAGCAGAAAAGGGCAGTGTACACTGTGCACTGTTTAGCTTTTTGAGTCCAATAAAGCCTACAGAGGAGAGAGAACAGTAGGTGTCAGAGACTAGGTCAGAATCATAACAAGGATATTGCTAGGTCCTAGATGATCTCCCACCGATGCTTTTATTTTATAAAGGCTGTTAGCAAGCCGCTGCAGCACCCGCGCCTCTCAAACACGGCAATCAATCATGTGTGTCCAGAAAGAGCAGGGATTAAGGGCTCAGAAGTAAAGAATGCCAGCTTCCCTGGTTCACAGAGCTCCCTTTAAGAGCGTTTATGTAGAATAGCAGTGGACACCGCAACCTCTCTTGGGCTCCCATGCTTTAGTCTCAGTGTTCTCCCTTGTAATGACTGCAATGTTTTGGAAATCGATCACTAGGCCTTTCTTCCAAGGTGCCACTGGGTGGGTCTGAACCACTGACCTTTCAGTGCTTTCATTGTTGTTGGTTGTCCTTCATTCAGGAATTTAAAAGGTGCAAGAGTTGAACCCAAGTAATCTTTATAAATAGAATAAATATGATCTATATCTCTATAGAATCAGAATCAACCAGCTATGATTGTCTGAGCACCTACTATGTGCTCTGGCACTGTACTAAGCACAGTGGCTCCTGACATTCTGAAGTTGACAAATGAATGAGGAAGATGGGATTCGGATAATCAGATAAACGTGCAATGGTAACTAGGCTATCAAAGTAGAGAATTAGAGGCAGGTGGCAGGGAAGTCCGAAAGGCTGCGTCAGTTGGGAGAGGTTGTGCGTGCCGTGCTAGGAGGAACAAGAGGGGTCTCTGGACAGATGGGTGAAGGACATATAGCGGCCGTCTAGCAGGGAGACAGCGGAAAGAAAAGGTTGGTCCAGTGGGAGACCAACGAGGGCAGGGTGAGAAAGGAGAATGGTGGTCCTTTAGGGCCAGATCATGCAGACCTTCACAAAGTGAAGGCTTAGAGGCTTTCTCCGAAAAGCAATCGGGAGGCTAAGCAGGCAGGGACACACGAGGGAACAGTAGCAGAGTGAACAGGTGGGATCAGTTCAGAGTGGTAGTCCGAGAGGACTGTTCTGTTCCGATTGTGGAAAGTTGGCCCAGATGGTGGTGAAGACGAAGAGAAGAGGTCAGATCTGAGATCTCCCCCCCCAGCCACAGATCTGAGATCTATCAGGTCAAAGGGACAGAGTCCATGGATACTTTGATGTGAGAAATGGAAAAATCTCTTAAGATTTCCAATTTGGACAACTGGCCACATGGCAGTACCATTTACAGAGAAAGAACCCAGATGGAGGCCGTGTTTGGGGTGGGAAGTGAGTAGCACAGGCCAGGAAGCAGGGAGCTTTGTTACTTCACAGTGCAGAGTAAGGGGAAAGGCGAATGGAGGCAGTTTTACCTTTATATCAGCTCTGAGCTCAACCAACTGCTCCTCTGACATTCGAACTGCCACGTCAGTCATCTTCTTTAGTAGTTCAGCTTTCTTCTGTCGGCTGAGCAAAATTTCCACTGGAGAGAAAGAAGACATCTGAATTCCATGACCCTGCTAAACTTGGAAAGAGGAACTGGCACTACAGGTTTGGAAGTGAGTGCCTGGGCAGTGAAAGGCTTAGCTGCCCACCCATCCTGGACACAAAATACCAAAGGGCCCATATCTCCACCCCCTGCAAGCAGGGTCTCTAAAAGCAGTCAAGTAGTAAATAATTCTTGTGAATCCTAAGTAACTTAGCAGTTCTCTTTCTCCACTCCCAAGTTAAAAACAAGTGATCAAATAGCACATAAATAAAAACGGCACCGGGTATAGAAAAAGTTCACCCAGACTAAGCAAGGCTAAAATGCAAAGCAGAAGTACCCCCTGCCACCCCCACCCCCTACTTCTGAAATTTGTACTCCTTTCCATAAAGAGAACCACTGCTGAGTTTCTGGTGGACGAGGGCAAGTGAAAAAGTACTGGCTCCAGCTCACACATGCACAGGGTTCACGCCAATTAAAGAGTGTCTGGACACGGCTCTATGGATTGCTGGATGGCTGCAGACAAGCTCTCAATAGCACACCTGTCTTAGTTCTGTCAGGGCATTTACAAAGAAAAGGGCCAGTCACACAGTGGCTTCTGAGAGGACCTGCTGGGCCAGTTAAGTTCAAGGCAGAGGTCAGCTCAGATGGTTTTGGGGACTACTTCTGGAGATTCCGAGGGGGTAGTCTTG